GCAATGGGATTTTGATGAGTAAATATGATTTGTTGTTTTGAGTACGAGTGTGAATATGTATAAGTACGTGCTTGTACTTGGTGACACGTACGGGATATGCAGAGAGTGATTAATAATAACGTAGATATCGAAGCATATATACATGTACACACACACAAACACGCGCACACAGAAACACATAGACACATAAACACACATACAATCTCTTTCAGTCAAACACCCACCCACCCAAAATTGAAACACCAAAAACAGAAAAAAAACATACACTTACACCTTTACACTCTTACACCCATACACACGCACCCGTACTCAAAGTTACACTCGTACACACAAGCCATACACACGCACACATACTAACACCCGTACACAAACTTACACTCGTACATATCCATACACACACCAACACCCGTACACAAACTTACATACGTATACACACACCCATACACACGCACACATACTAACACCCATACACAAACTTACACTCGTACACACACACCCATACACACGCACACACACTAACACCCATGCACACGCACACACACTAACACCCATACACACGCACACACACTAACACCCATACACACACACACACACACTAACATCCATACACACGCACACCACTAACAATACACACACAACACCCTACACCGCACACACACTACACCCATACACACGACACACACACTAACACCCATACACACGCACACACACTAACACCCATACACACGCACACCACACACACACCATACAACACACACACTAACACCCATACACACGCACACACACTAACACCATACACACGCACACACACTAACACCCATACACACGCACACACTAACACACACACACACACTAACACCCATACACACGCACACACACTAACACCCATACACACGCACACACACTAACACCCATACACACGCACACACACTAACACCCATACACACGCACACACACTAACACCCACTAACACCCATACACAAACTTACACTCATACACACACACGCCTACACAAACGCTCAACAACCCATCATCAACCCACAAACTACCCCCTTCCCCCTTCTCCTCCTTCCAGTATGTCTACAAGCCGCCATATACCTCGCGGTCGGAGTCCTATCCACAATCTACCTGATGGTTGCGTGGTTCAAGGGATATTTCCACCGAGCCAAGGAGAGGGACATCCCGCCACCTTGTCTTCGGGATCCGGCTCTGGGTTGGCATCGGTTCGTCAAGCTGAAGGTGAGGGAAACTTGCTTAGGGTTGCTTTGCGTTGGTTTTTGTCGGTTGGTATGGTCGGTGTTGTTGGTGTGTTGTAGTTTTTTTTATTTTCATCATCATCAGTCATTATTGTCATCATCTTTATTACCATCATCATCATAAGTAGAAGCAGTAGCGATAGTAAAAGTAGTAGAAGTAATAGAAGGGGTAGTAGTGTCATTATTATATTCACCATGAATGTTATTATACCATCATCATTGTTATTACCATAACTATCATGCTCATCACCATAATCATTATTATCATCATGAAAATCCTCTAAAAAAAAACACAAGCATAACTCCTTATAATAGACCTGTGTAAACATATTTTAAAAACTAAAACACCCAAATGAATATGATCCCGCGATAGGAAATGAACACAGAAACACATTTTTTTTAATGCTTACTGGTTTGGCTGCCCGACGAGCTGTCCTTATATCCAGCGACTCCTGTCCTTTTGCCTGATCCGGATTATCGGATATCCGTTCCTCCGGCCGTAGCGAAAGGGGGGAATAAGCCGGAATTGCCCGAGGCGGAGAAAGTTACCTGGGCGAGGCTCAGGTACCTCGATGCACGGAAGGAAGGCAGCGGTTAGGGCCAAGTGCAACACAACCCTTCCGCTTTCCATATCGCTGACATACACAATACTTAAATTACAAAAGTACAAGAATTCAGAGTCATTAGCTGACATATCTGTGGGAGGGAGACGGTATAAGTCTAGGATATTTCACCGATCTCCTGTGCTGAAAAATTAATGTGGATTATATCTCGATTTATGGTACCATCACACCTGCAGACACCAACTTCGAACGGGTTTTTCGAGATTTTCATGAGTGCGTTCGGAACCTAGGCATTTTTTCTCTCTTTTTATCTTTCTCTCTCTTTTCTCTTTTCTCTACTATTTATAGATTACCTTGCTAAAAGAGTTTTTGGCTTTAACAGAAAAATATGTATTCCATAATCCATTTGCCCAGTTGCAATACAGTATTTCTTTAGGAAATTGCTATACAGTATATTCCAAATCTGATCACTGAAAAATACTAATCAAATGGACCTTCAGTAGTTTCCCTCCAAGGTGAAAAAACACCAACTACTTAATCATCTTTCGAGTCTGATTTCCACACACACACACACACACACACACACAATACACAAAACCACCATCACATAACTATTAAAATCTCAAAACAAAATTTCAAATTTCCGCAGAATGTAAAACTCCATTACGTTGAGGCGGGCGATTCAAGCAACCCCTTGGTGGTTCTGATTCACGGAGCTCCGGACTTTTGGTTCACTTGGAGGAAGCAAATTCCAAGTCTTGCGAATAACTATTGGTAAGTAGGTATTTTGTATGTTATATATTGGCGAGTAGTAGAAAATGAATTGAATGGTATTGATAATAATAGTAGTAATTCTGCTGGTTAATGACATTTAGTTGTGTAAGTAAACTCTAGGATTAGCTATGATAATGATGATGAAAATGGGGAAATTTGATAAATATTGATAACATAAGGATGATTCTGATATTTTATAAAGCTAGCAAATATTAAGATAACTAACAATAATTATGATCGCTACGAACTATAAGCATAATCCTACTTTTTCACCGCAATGCCTAATCCTGCCCTTAATCTGAAGGTCTGGCCCACAGATTAAGGTCAGGAGGGTTTCGAATTCCGTAAAGATTAGATCGACATTTTTACCATTAATAAAACCTCAGTGTTTTCTGCTGGCTTGGTTTAAACTGTAATCGCCATATTGACAAGCAACGGTTAAAGGGAATTTGAATTTAATGGTAGAGAGAGAGAGAGAGAGAGAGAGAGAGAGAGAGAGAGAGAGAGAGAGAGAGAGAGAGAGAGAGAGAGAGAGAGAGAGAGAGAGAGAGAGAGAGAGAGAGAATTTGATTTTCGCATTTTGATTTTGGTTTATTTAATATATTATACAAATGTGCATATTTGAAAAGGCATGTGAGCTAGATCAATTATTTTATATAGTGGTATAATTTTGGGCACATTATCATATATATGGAAGGAATTTGCAAGATATTGATCAAATGCATAGAACATGCACAGTAAAGAAAGAGAGCAAATTAAAGAAAGTGAGAGACAAAAGGATTCAATTATAGATTGAATTATATATATATACATTTCATCACAATCTATATCAGTGTACAAAGATATAACAACATAATTATGCAAAATATGATGTTCCAGGGTAGTTGCTGTGGACCTGCGTGGATGCGGTGATTCGGACACTCCCAGCCTGAGGACACAATATACGATAGACATTATAACAGAGGACATAGTTCACCTCATAGGCAGTCTGGGTGCGTATGCTGCGGTCTCGGGAAATGCGCAAACTGGCAACTCGCCCCGCAATATAGTGTTCCGATTCGCCAATTCGATTTTAAGAGAAAAAAAAGTATTTTTTGAGGTTAATTACAATTTTTTTTTTAAATATTGTATATGTTTTGAAAATTCAAATATGTTTGCGTGATAGATAAATATTATTAACTATTTATTAGTGGGGGGTATTATTATTAGATTAAAAAAGAGAACAAATCGGACTATTCCAGGGTCCGGGTGAGTTGCCAGTTACCGCTTTCCTGAGATTGTAGGTCTAAGAAATTATTACATTTTTATTGTAGAATAATTAATGTTGAACTCACTTATGCGGTGAGAACGTGCTGCGGAAAAGTTATTATCGTATCTTGTGAAATGCAGGGCAATGTGTTTCTATCACATTTGAATCGGGGTTTCAAGTACCCGTATGAAAGTAAATATGCAAATGATAATTGAAGAGTAATTATGAACCTGGTTGACGTTTCAGCAGACATCACTAATATTGATAATTTCATTTTAGTCACGGTTAATCTAACCATTACAAAACAATAAATTCAAAGTGGAGATTCTATTGCAAAATACATCATGAATGCTATAGGCAATTTAATCATTAACCAACTTGCATTGCGCTCGTAATCACTCATTGAAATTTGAAATAACCCGACCATTCAGAACAGTATATAGAATAATTAAATAATTGAAACTAACCAATATTCAAATTTTCACGAAAATACACCAAGGTTGACCCACCACCCAAACCTGACTGACTAAAAGTAACCATACAACCTAACCTAACCCACCCCAACCCACTGAACATTAACCAGTACATTATCATACTCAGGTCGAGATAGCGCCCACCTTGTTTGCGCAGGTGTGGGTGGGCAAGTGGGTTGGCGTATGGTACAGCGATACCCCGGCTTGGTATCAAAGATGGTACTTGTTCATTCGCCACATCCCTACATCGTTCAGCAGCAAATCCACTCCCTCTGGAGTAATTATTTGAAATTGTGGTAAGTCGGAAGTATTGGCAAGGGTCGGTTATTTTTATGATTGTCCATGCTTTATTGTCTATTGTTATTGCAATTATTATTGTTGTTGTCGTTGTCGATGTTGTTGTTTATTGTAATTATATAATTGTTACTGTTATTATTATCATCATCATCATTACTGTTTACATTACAATTATCTATGCAATTGCTATTAGATACTCATCCACTGTCTTTTTTAATCACCCTCTCATGATTTATCAATATCAATCTATATAAAATAACTTAATAACTGTTTAATGGAGTCATTTATTAGCTACTTTGATTATGATTAATTATCAAATTTTCATGAAATAAATGTTAATCATTCTAACAATTATGATTTGGTTATTATAATCACTGATTACTTAATT